ATCATGAAGGTCGCTAATTATAACCCGTTAAAAATCTGTATCAATAGCAGTGACACAATGATGACGTCAGTTATTATTAACTAAGAAACTGGAATCATTCCCCAGCCTGGATCTACAAGTTTGAATTATTAAACGTATTCCGTTTTGCTTAAAGGGACTATGTCAGCTCGAGAGCATGCGCTCTGAGGTTATGCAAATTACTTTCAACTGTCAAAATTCTATTGTGTTTAACGCGTGACTTTCTCCATGTGCCGAGGTTATGCAAATTACTTTCAACTGTCAAAATTCTATTGTTTTTAACCCGTGACTTACGTCCAAGGTTCCGAATTTAGACAGGTTAACAAGCGAAATGGGTTTAGATAAGGGATATTTCGATAGAATTTACGGAACGTTTCTTCTCTGGTTATGCTAGATCAAGAATAAAATTGTGACGACAATTTTACTTGTAGTTTTGGCGTAAAAACGCATGCCATTCATAAAATAGTGCGCAAACAAAAATTCAACAACAACATGTTGTCTTATTCAACAAAATAAATCGAAGTTGTATTTTACAAACGAGCTACAAAAGACGCTACACCGAAGATAAAGACCAAGACTGTTTCAAATCATTAACAATTAGACTTGTCTGTCGCTAGTGATTTTATAATTTAGATGCTGATAGAACAAGAGACATCAAGTCTTTGTTTTGATCTTAGGGAAACATACATTATCGCGCAAAATTGTTCGATCGTGCCGAATCACTGCGACGTCGAGAAAAACAGACCCAAGCATCATTGGTATACTACTCCACTATAAGCAGTCCGTTGATAAAAAGGGAAAGTAAGCTCTGCTATTTTCCAAAAATATGCTCGAACACAAACAGTTCAAAAACATGGCATTTACAGGATCTAACTCGTATTAAGGTGCCTCTCTAAGTCCGTTGAGAACAATCTGGAGGAGCAAACGGTCGTGCTTATCTTTGCCGTGAATCCAGATAAATACAAGATGGAATCTAGCCGAATTTTATAATGTTTCCTTCGCCAGGAGTTTCGTTTGGTCACGAAACTCATGGCCTGATGCTCTTGTAATCGTTTACCAAAAACGGCCGCCGCCAACTCGATAGCCGCTTCATTATATGTCCACATACTTTGAGCACAAGAAAAATCCAAGAGCCAGCAACCTCTAAAATAACTCAATAGAAAGGTTCTGTGAACTATAGGGAAGATTCCATCAAAGATTCCATCACTCATTGTGGAGTAGCCGTCATTAACTCTGCCATTACAACGGCCGCTGATAAGAGGACACAGTAAATCCACGTAAAAACATTCCACAGGCAAACAAAATAACGCAAAAAATTATTCTGTAATCACCATAGAACGATTCTTAATACAAAACTTCGCTAACTATCGAACGATGGCTGAGATTTAGACAGATAAAAACAGCCTTCCAAAATCTCCGACAGAACTTGAAAAAGACGGGCCAACTTTTTCAAGTTTGTTTTCCTTGGTTCGCGCATGCGTGTGGGGTGACATAGCCCCTTTAAAACCCGTATAAATCGAGGTAATGGTGATGTAAAGTTTCACCTAGGGATAAAAGAATGCTTAAGAAGAAAAGAAAAAAAGGGATGAAATTCTGAGAGAAATGAACACTGTGAAAATTTGAACCCAACGTCCGCCATTTGGTCATTTAGAAATGTTTTCAGATAAATTTTAGGAAAATTCGCTAGGTTTGGTTGTCATTGCTTGGACGGTTTTAAAGTTAAGTTCTTCAACTTTAAACTTTTGGGGGGCCTCAAAAGCGCCCCCCTGGTCAGAATAGGGTTATAATATGTATTGGATAAAACTGAGGCTAAAGATAAGTAATACACACAGGTATATAAGTTAGCAACTTAAAGACTTAAAACGAGGGACACTGCAAACTCTTTGGCAACTAATTACCATCACTAATAATGAACAGCTGGTATCTTTTTTTCAATAATTGTGCAAGTTCATGCAGTATCTGGCTATAGGACAGAAATTTTGTTGTGTAATTAAATTGTGTTTTCCAACAGAAATTATTTCACAGTAGCCCATGCCCTGGAAAGAACTTCATCTGTAAGGTAGGCTACGCAGATAAGTGCTACCAATGGGTTTGCCGTGATGGTTTCAAAGGCGAAAACTGCGACGAAGGTATGGCTAATCAGGTTGACTTTGTTGTTTTCTATGTCAGCATGTGTTAGCACATTGTTTGACTCACAACGCGGACATCCAGTTAGTTTGCTCAACCACCTTCATGCGCTAGGATTTTAAAGAATTGTTTTCATTCTCCTATTCAATTTATTATTTTCCCAACGTTTAGGGGCTTTCATGGTGGCCCGATACTGCCTGACATGGCAGAGTCGTCAAACATATGGAGCTTTTCTTCAGGGTACATTTGCGACCCTGCATTTTACCCTCAACTTGACGTGACAACGTCTGCTGGGCTGCCTATGCTTGTCTGCGGATCCCCCATTCCAACCTTATAATGGCATATTCCTGAAAACAATCCCTTATTATGTTAGATTTAGAACAACCTCCATGCTTACTAAAGCTTTTAAACATCCTTTTTTCGACATTTCTTTCTGATTCATCCACGTAGACATTAATGAATGTAAGGACGGATTACACAACTGTGGCGATGTGTCCAATTGTGAGAATACCAATGGCTCTTTCAATTGCATTTGCAAAATTGGTACAAAATACAATGGTAAGTGATACTGACATGAATTATAGCAGAGACCTAAAAATAAAGTTTACCTCCTCGTAAACTTTCTTCAAGGCTTTGGCCCATTTCTTGGCATGGTTTCAGGATATAAACGGACGTCATTTTTTCGTGCAAAATCTCCTCAAAAGGTAGACAACATCCATCGAGTAATATTCATTGTGTGACTCTTGTGTATTCTCCCATTTCTTTCGTTCAGTTTAAGTAACAAATTCAGCTATCTAGTCTTCGGATAGCGCTGAACGTCATAGTTATAACATGTCAGGGGCACCCAACGAATGGGCACGCCACTTAATCATTACTGAACAAAACGAAAAATTGATTCTACAGTTCTTCAGAGCCCTGGTTCTCCGGGCCATTCAATCGTAATTGAACACAACACAATCGATTTATGGAGTTTCCAGGCCGCTGGATGCTAAGACCGTCGGCTATTCTGTGGACTTCTCGGGCCACTAAGTCAGAGTTTAACAAAACAGACTCGTCCAGTCGACAGCTCTCTCCGCTCTGAGTTATATAAGCGCAAATCCACCCTTGAAAAATAATAACACGAGAAAGAAACATGCAAATGAAAAACATCCATAAGATAGAACGCAAATAGGCGGGTGAGAGACAACGGAACTAATAAGCCATTTCCAACTGCGCAATAGACAACAAACAAACAACAAAAAAAGGACGCGACAAAAGAAAAATAACAGCAAGGTAATGGCAGAAATAGCAAGCAAAACGCTAAATATCCGAAAATGTCAAGACTAGCTTGAAACCTATTCGATGAAAACAACTGAATTAAAGCAGAGAGTGATGAAACGGAGGAAACAAGCGAAATTAAGGTGAGTACAAGACGCAACAAGAAAGTTGATACATTTTCCAACATTAAAAAAAGAAAACCAAACCGACTTTGCTGCCCGACCTCGCCAAGAGCTACGGACGCAGAGTGAGCCATAACGAGGAATTACCTCTGGAGACCGGTGAAACATTGGCACGCAGAAAAAAAAAAAAAAAACGTGAGGTCACAGATAAGTTCTCTAAAAGCGGCTGGTGGCGGTTGAAACGACAGCGAAACTTGGAAGTCACTTTGATTTCATCTACCCCGTTGAACAACTGGCCGAGAGGCGAGAAAAACCGAGCAGTTCTAAAACGAAGGAATTTAAAGTAATCATTTTATTTCCCGCGTCACGGTCCAATTATGATGGTCTCAATGGGATTAACCGAGGGGCGTAAAGCGGCCAAAAATTTAGTCGATAGCCGTAAATAGGGTAAAAAAGAGTTAACCGTAAAAGAAATTGTTCCCTAGATTTGTTAAGGAAGGTGATAAATTCAGTTATGGTTGCGTGATTTACTTCGCGGCCACTTTGGCTCCGTACGCACGTTAGGCCAAGCTCCTTTTAGGTGTTAACCTAGACCTATAAAGCTAGGCTCCATTTCCGCTGCTCACTCGAAGAACCAATTTTTTTTTCCATAAATACTAGTGAAACAACGCGCAGCGATGTCACTGTTTGTAAAACACGTTGCCGATAAACAACAATTCCCTGTTTCAGTCTCTGACGCTACAGTAGACATTGCCAGCTATTGCCATGCCTAATCCCTGTACGGTGTCTTCACACGCAATCTTGGTCGAGGCATTTCGGTGGCATACCTGAGGAAAAAAAAAGAAAGAAAACTCGCTTGGACCACGTGACCCGGAATACATTAGCCGCGCGGAATAATGAGGACAAGTCAACGGCAGACAGTCGTTGTGTGCAGTCCTTTCTCTGTCATTAAAAACACCGGACATGGGAATTTTGTTGTTGGCCGAATTTCACACTAGAGCTAGAAATGGATTTTCCGTCTGATACTAGCTTGTGTACAGTCGCCCCCTTCCCCACAGACACCCCTTCTCCGATTTTTTTCTGAGGGGAGGGGTCGGCTGTACACAGGCTATCTGGAATGGTTAATCCATCTTCAAACTGTCCGTCAAAATTGACGGATTAAAGTCAGGCGGATTGTTCATTCGATCAAATTAAGACGTATTACCTATCTGACGCGAATTATCAAACGGATAACCCGTCTCACTCGAATGATCCGTCTCTAGGGTGAAAACGTCCATTTCTGTTGTAAATGAATGTCGCGCCCCCGCCTTGAGTTGAGCGTTCGCGTGTCTGCTTGTGCTTTTTCACAAAGATTATTTTTATATTCACTATCCACATTTCTATGCGTAAAATAATATTAGAAGTGGAATACTTTATAAAAAGTATGATCTATCAAATGTTAAAATTTTTCAAAAGAATGGCTTATTTCATCCCAAGATGATCCTAAGACCTTTCTTTTGCTTTAAAGTTACTAAAAATACAGGTTTATTGATATTTAACTCTTTGAAACAAAAGAAATTAATTATTAACTTTTTTGTTAACCCTAACTGAAAAAATTAACCGATAACCGTAAAAGAGCGGAAGTTTTAGCCGATAACCGTAAAAGCCACCACCCCATTGAGACCCTCAATTATGTATGCAGTTAGAATAGTATTAACGTTATCTTGTAGACGGCATAGCAGGCAATCTATTTAAGAGAACTATTAAGGGTAAAAACTTTACTTTTCAAATTATCGTAAGGTAAGGAACATCCTGGGGAAAGAAGGGGGGTTCAACCATCCCCCCTTGAACCACGGTGAGAGGTGGGGGTATGCGTTTGCATGAACGTTCGAGGGTTAAGAAACACCAATTTATATGCATCTATAAACATTTTTCTTTATAATTTGCTTTCTTTGCTTTTCTTTTAATTGATTCAGCATCGTGCGAATCGCAATGGACAGGTTTTGGGTCCTCGTGTTATAAACTGCACACATCGCGCAAGAACTGGAACAATGCGAAAGTGAACTGCCAGAATGTTGGTGGTAAGTTAGTGAAGATTGAAACCGAGGAGGAAAGTCGATTTATCACAAGAAAATATTTCAGTAATAACGGTCGTTACTGGATTGGACTTTCTGACGCCTTCAAAGAAAAAGACTGGAGATGGACCGACAAAACCGGATTAACTGGTTATAAAAACTGGGGAAGTGGCGAGCCGAATAATTTATTTAACGAAGACTGCGTAGCAATGCTAAAGGGAACATACTATTTTAGGTATGTTAACGCAAAATGGAACGACGAAGACTGCTCCTTGAAACTGGGATACATTTGTGAAAAAAACTGAACGTTTTTATTAGTTGCTTGGCATAACTTGGATCCATCAAGCTGGCGCTCTTCGAGTTATTGCAATCAGTTCTCAGATATATTTGCACCGAATCTGCCATTTATTTTTTTTTATTACTGCATGAACCCGAATGCCATAGTGTTAAGAAAACTGGAAGAAGCTGGTAGTTGTGGGTGTGACGGCGAATCGTTATAGGTCACTACGGTCGACTGGGACGGTTGAATAGCTGTCACCTCAAGCAAAACACGCGTAATCTTTTACCGTCATCTTTGTGGGACGAAATGTTTTCGCCGGGTTTCTCGTCGTGAAGACAACGGTGAAACCGATAAGGGTTCATGCTTACTTATTATCAATTTTCTTCTAAAACTGTGTAGCCAATGGGTTAAAGATGCGTTGGGTTGTGTTTAAATTGATTTACCTATCAGAGAAATGAAAAAAAAAAATGGAGAAAATGTCTTAGTTCATTCATAACTAAGCTCGCGACCGCAAGGAGACTGCTTGTTTTCTACCTAGTGTCATCCGCCGTGGCAGAGGAAAATTTCAGAAAAGAAAGGTAAGGCCCAGTTCAAACGTCGATCTTTTCATGTACCGAATATACCTATTTAGGTCGACCCAAATGATATAAGTTCGAGGTTGATTTGGACGTCAAAGTTAATTAGTCGAACTAGATTCATTTTCATGATGTTCATGGTCTAGAATGCTTTGATGATTGTAGTCGTGTTTTTTTTTTTTAACTTTATAAAACTGTATTTTTATCAAGAAAAGATTTCTTTAACTAAAAAATTGTTGGCTTAGGAAAGGAAAGTTCAAATAAAAACATCGACTAGTTTTGAAAACTAGCCAGCCTTAAGTTGTACCCCTATTCTTCTGATTGGCATTCTTCAAAATTGAGAAACTCGTCAGTAATTGAGTCTTCTGCGAAATAAGCGTTAGCGTCCTCTGTTTTGTTGTCCGATCTTAAATTGAAAATTTTCCCGCCTTCTTACCGTCATGGCCCCAGGCCGCCAGTATACGCATCCAACCGTCCCAGCCTACCGTAGTGAACTATCTTAAGGTCCCTAAAGATTGACACCCTCCCAAATACGTCAACTTTAGAGAGCGTTTATATGAGAAAAAAAAATGACCTCTTTGCCCAAGCTAACAGCTTTTGCACATGCTCTGATTATCTTACCCAGACCATGTTGACCGGGCTGAATGAGCAAAAATGTTTATATGGAGAAAAGTTGGCCCGGCTTGATGGTAGCCTTATTATCGACTAAGGTTGACACTGCTAGGCCACTCTTCACAAGCTGGCGTTTTTAGGGGAGCTCGTATTTCATCCCTCTCCAAAAATACTCCTTCAATCGAGAACAACATTCCTTTCCCAAGCTTAGCCAAACACATCGTACCCTCCATATTCTGGAGGATTGACCTTGACGGCAGGCTAACCCGATAATTACTCGATCTGCATGAAACACTGGGAAAGCTTGATGACCTCTAATAAATGTTAGACTCGGAGCAGCAAAAGTAAGATTAAGTCAGACTTTGGAATACTCCGCGCACTGCATAACCTTAGTGAAGGAAAGAAAAGTAACTCTAGTGTCACGTTTTTACACTACCACGAGCTTATGAGTCGTGTTTAGCCTGTGAACACTTTATTTCAAAACTGCTGATTGGTAACTTACCACGCGAATAAAACAATGGGAAAGGAATGTTGTTCGCAGTTGAACAGGCGTTTGAGGAGAGGGAGGAAAAACGAATTTCCCAAAAAACGTCTGCGTGGGAGGCTACGCTCTTCCATGCAGGAAGCTAAAAATGTTTTTTCTATCACACTCGCTGTTTAGTGTATTAGTGTGCAGATTATTATTCAAGACAGTAATCAGTAAGTTTTATTACGATTTTTTTTAAAACAACGACAACAATAAAAAAATACATGCTCTGCACCCTTGTTAATATAGGAAAGTCTAATTTTTCGTTTGAGGCTGAACGTTCTTTTTTTATTATCATGATCATGATTATAATTATTATAATTATAATCATAATGATTATAATTATAATCATAATGATTATAATTATGATCATGATAATTTATACAATATTTATTATTATTATCATTATTATTATTATTATTATTATTATTATTATTATTATTATTATTATTATTATTATTATTATTAGCCGCTCCCTGTAAGGTACTAACCTGCATCCTGGAATCTGATTAATTTTTCCTTGTGGAATCCGGGATATATCCGAGAATTATTCGCTTGAGAAATCTGGATTCCTTTGGACTCTGGAATCTAGCTCAAGGAATCCAGAATCCCTCCAAGGGTTGCAATCAGTTCCACTGACAATTTAGAATCCAGAATCCAAGACTGCGTTAGATTACTGTGCAAGGGGATGGGAAGGTCGCTTATTCCTCTTTTGCATGTTTTTTTTTTTTTCAAGTTGTGTGGTATAATATTTAAACAAATGAATGCGGAAGTAATACAAGGCCAACTACCACGAACAACACTAAGTCAGGCTTTGTTTCAGCACACTTTTATTTTGTAGATGTTAGTATGGAACGGCTGTACATAATAACTGTTCAACGAATTGTACTGAGTTTTCAACTGTAAAGTTTTTAGAAGTTTTAATAAGACTAAGCTCTACTAGAAATCGAGTTGTTCTTTGAACAGTATATCTTGCAATAGGAAAGCACATTGTTAATATTTAAAAATGTCATTAAGTATTTTAGTTAATTGACTTGTTAGATTACAGTTTTACATTTCTTTTACCTTTATTGATACTTACACAGATAAGCAAAATAAAGACGTTCTTAACTGACCAACAGCCTGGGTGTGATTAGATTTAGCCCATCCTCATGAGAGCCAGGGGGAGCCAATTCCCGACCTTACAAATCTGCATAACCAAATTTATTTGGTCGGGGCCACGGGATGCGGTTTCGATGAGGTAATTCACTGGTTTCGTGTGGGAGAAAGGCCGATTAGTCTAACTCTAAGATGTTCAAGAGGGGGGCGGGGTGGAGGGGGAGGTTTTTCTGATTTTTCTTCCTAGACGATAGAATATCAGCAACTGAAGTTTTCTGTAGCTGTTCGTTTATCCCTCGCGCGCATTTTGAGACAAGTTCAGTGATGGTCAGTTGCTATGGTTAATTTTCGCTGCTTTTACCTTATTTCTAATTCTTGATAAAATACAAAGTGGCGACCATGTTTGGTGATCTCACAGACCTCCAACAGCGCCACCACCCATAAAATATACCTTGTATTTTGGAGAAGGTCAAAGGCTTTCCACTTATAGCAAAATCGTTTCGAAATACTGCAACATATCAAAAACTCAAGGGGGGTTTCGTCAACCCCCCACCCCTTGTACCGCGGTGGGCTAAGACTTTGCGTGTATGTCCGAGGGTTAAATTAAAAAAAGAAAAGGCGATTTCGGTTTTGGATTTGCGTAAGGTAGAGGTAACCTCAGTCGGCTCAAAAGAATCAAAGCGACGAAACTTTTCAAGCAAGGGCGGAAGAGCCCATACCGGGACAATATTTTCCCACACCAATTCCAAACATTCGACGTCGTTTGGCTTCTGATTGGAGCAAGAAAACGTTGGTGTTTTTATGCCCAAGCATTTAGAGCGGATCTGGCCTGCGAGTCGTTTTGTCCTTTCTTACATGCCCCTAAGTGATCTAATAGACGCTCGGGGCGTATTCAATTTTACGGGTCCAAGAGGGGGCGTTTTATAGATAAGAGGCGTGTAGAAGATAACACCCCTTCTATAACTTTAAAGCCGCTCATGACATGGCCACCAAAGTTCCAGAAAATAATGTAATCATCATTTCCAACATCTAAGCATAATTTGATTGCCACAGTGCCGTAATTTGACGTCGTTATGACAGCATTTTGTTGAATTTATTGGCAAAATCCAAATGTCCTTCAAAAAAGCCATAAACGAAAAAACATTAAAAAGTGAGGTCTGACAAGAGGTTAACATGAAAAATTTTAAACAGTAGCAGTGATGCCGCGATGACGTCATTTATTACTCAAAAAAAGAACTGGAACAATCCGCCATTTTGAATTACTTCATGTTTTTCATTTTTCTTAAAAAAACGTGTAATTTTTGATCCGCATATAAAAAGGATGCTTATAAAGCGAAACAAATCTACCAATTATGAAATTCCGAGAGAAATAAATACCGTCAAAAACTTAACCCACATCTGCCATTTGGTCATTTTAATTTTGTTTCTGTTTTTGTTCTTTTGTGAAATTCGTCACTAAATACCTGTGTTATGTTAACAGATATCATGAATTGGATAAAATAATACTAAATAAGAAGCATGTTACATGATAATGCAATTATAGTAAACAAACGTTTGCTTTGTAGGAAAAATGAAAATTTTGGAAGCCTAGCTGTCAAAACTCGGGTGCCATGGTAACGTCAATGTTGACTGTGGCCGTTGGCTGAAACTAAGCAATAGACGAAAAAACCCATGATGAATAGGCAAATATGACGTCACTGTCATTGTGTATTCTTTCTAGGTAGACAGCCTTCCTGTCTGTTAAAGTAGAACGGTGTCAGTTCCTGATGACAAAGCTCGCACATGGATGTTGTAGTGTGACTGAAAAAATATGCTAATCTTGCTTCCTTTATTTTGTACTGAATGTAATGAGATAATTCGTGCGATCTGATTGGTCAAAAGCCTATGGTTTATTATACCGGTAAACTCACAGAAAATGCATCCAGACCACGAGCCATACACAAACCCGGATAATAATCTGCAAACAGCGATTTCAGAAAAGCTCAAAAACAAACGAATTTACTTACTTAGCCCTGAAGTGTTGGTTTTCACATTTTACTACTGATTTTCCCTTTTCGCTACTGTCATAGTTTTAAAAACTATAAAGTACAAGTCTGGAAAGCAGTTCAATCTATATTTCGCGACAATGCGAAATCGCAGATAAACACAACAACTTTGTGAATTTATGGTGTAAAAAGTTTCCAGAAAAGCTTAACTTTGTACCAGCCTCAACGA